GCTCCTTTTCTTTCTTTCTCTTCCTTTCTACACTTTTACAATGGCTTACTAAAATTTATAATTTGTGCCTAACTCCATTTCCTTCCTTCTAAGGTAGGCTAGCTAATTTATATACAAATTATATAATATAAATATTACAAATATCTAATTTTTACATTTACTAACCACCTTCCCAACCATATGGCTTCAATTCCACCCATAAACATTGATGAAATCCTATCCTAATCTCTAATTTCATCATGACATTGGTTTAATACTATTATTATTATTATAACTATTATTATTATTAATAAACTTTTATAATAATTATTATTATATTATTATTATTATTATTATATACAAATTAAATACTTTAATTAAATAATAATAATTAATCTAAAACATAACCAATAAAAATTTCAAAACTAATCATTATACTATATAGAACATAAATCAATATTACATGCACAAATAAATAAAATTAATTAACTAATCTAACACAAACTTTCAAATTAACTAATCATTATACTATATAGAAATACACTCTTTAAAATTACGGGGTATTACAGTACCCATCGCAAACTGAGATATATCTAATTCAAGCATCAAGTTCTCTATAGTCCCTAGAACTTTCATCTAAACCTCAGACTCATCTCTATCACAAACTTCATCGAGCACCTAGAATGCATTCTTAACAATGGCTGGATTTTGAGATACTGGGGATACAACTCTCTTTCTTCTAGATTTCCTCTGAACCATGTAACCCTCTTCCAACTCCTCCTGGGGCTTCTCTCTTATGATTAAACTTTGCTTCACATTCACCTCTTTACCTTTATCAGATCTCTTCACCAAATACTTTTCAAAATTACAATTTCATAATCATGTCCTTACAAAATCAAATGTCAATACAAAATGGGTCAAAAATAATAATAATACTAATCCATCTCTAGGTTGGTGGAGGCACGTCATCAACCGTTAACTTCCCATGACCTGAAAAATGTTAGTAATAGGGTTAGCACCACGATTCAGTAGAGATGCCTAAATAGCGTCTCCTCAAGTCGAGTATGCATGGCAACAACCAAGTAGGAACATAGTAAGATGGAGAGGGATCATGCAAGGGATTTTAATCACTATTTAACCATCAAGCACATAAACAAGCTCCAAAACTCAAATAAATGCCATGCATTATGCATTTACACTACACACACAACCGACTCATACGCATTTACATAAAAAATGTACTAAGGTATTCAGACTCCGGGTACCTCCTTCTGTCCTTATAGCCCATTAGTACCGTCGTTAAAGGGGTACCTCCCCAATTCCGGTTTTGAGAAAAACCTTGTGGAGGGAAATTTCCCCGCCAATCATAACGTATAGCGTATCAATAGGGGTACAGCCCATTATTAACCAAATTCGCCTTAAAGCCCAGTATAAGCTAGAAGCCCAACAAAAAAGGTCCACAAATATATCAAGTCAACCCAATTAACGAAAGAAACTCCATTTGACATAAAACGGACCAGGGAATGGCTTAAGTACGGCAAGACCCCAATTTCCATAACGGCCACCATAAAAGAGAGGGCCGTAAATTCAGGGGGCACAAACGCCCACATTCATAAAAAAAAAAAAACTGCCAATAACGGCTCCATGTAATTCTCTGTATGGGTTTTTAAGTAAAGGATGAATGAAAAGAGAAATCCATCGAATTCCCATCATTATTCCTCTCTAGTGAAAATTATCTATTGTCTTATCCATATTTCATACACCTTCTTTTGATTTATTTCTTTAAGTGTTTGGGTGTGAGAAATTGCACCTACACTTTGGCGCCATCTGTGGGAATTCGTTACAAAAAGTCTATTTTTTACCACTTTCATGTAACATCGCTCCAGTATGGTGACAGGATCAGACGCCACACGAGCACAACATTAGGAAATCATACAGAAAATGTGTAAAGAGATGCAAATGTAGTTTGACGTCATTCGACAAGCCAATGAAGCTAGTACCGAATAGATCATTGCACTGAGATAGGCTCATGAAGCTAATATAGCACAAATCAATGCTCTATGCTAGGAAAATGAAGGACTCCAAGGCAATGCTCGGCAGAATGATCCACCGATTGACCCACAACCCAAGTGTCGGAACAAAGATCCTCCCCTAGCACCCAGGCTCAATAACCCTCCTCTTCAGTAGATGGTTCCACAATAGCAGTTTGACGGAACACTGGATGGTACCGAGGAAGCAGCAAGCTAATCCTACATCCCAGGAAATTCCATTATGGGAGGACCTCGAACCACCAAGGTCCCACCCTCAAATGATGCCGATTCAGGAAGAAAGGAGGCATGGGCCCCAGTTGCCAATCAACAATCACCAGGGAATGATTTTATCGCTAGGTTTTGAAAGGAAATGGACGAGCAAATCAAATGGCTAAAGGCCCAAACACCTGAGGACATGGCGAATTCACTGCATCAGTAGTGAAGACTCCCTTTATGGATGAAATAGAGCGGGTTGCAGGACCTAAGAAGTTTACAATGCTAAAGTTCATTAAGCTCAACGGAACTGGAGACCCTCTCCAGTACCTCAATCATTACACTCGGGAAATGACACTAGAGGCACACAATGATCCGTTCATGTGCAAGATATTCCCATCCAGTCTGATAGGGGTAGCCCTGGAATGGTTCAAAAACTGTCTATGCAAATCAATCTCAAACTTTAAGACACTGTGCATCACGTTTCTTGCTCAGTATAACGCGAACAAGAAACAGAAAAGACCATTGCCAGTCTCTTCATGATTCGACAGATGAAGGGAGAGGGTTTGCAAACGTTTCTCACCTGGTTCAACATGGAGTCCTTGGGTATTCCATATTACAATTAGGATACGGCAATAGAAGTATCCAAGATAGCAATGGTGTAAGGTTCGCGTTTTCATTCTTCTCTCGTGAAGAAAATTCCTGTTGAACCAAAAGGGAGGGTGAATTGGTTAATCTCTTCCCAACAACAACAATAAGAATATTCAGCAAGCGAATAATGAGAACATAAAACAGGATTTACAAGGAAACTCTTTCAACTAGGGAAAACCTTAGTTCTTGGCCATGGCCAATGAAGATCACTACTAGCTATATGTACCTTGTTACACACTCAGCTGTCTCACCCTCTACACACACCCAAGCATAAGAATGGACACTAGCTTTCACAACTAATACACACACTAGCTGATTTCAATGCACACACACACTCCCCCTGTCCTAAGCACCCTTACTTGGACCAACAAAGCTCATATAGTTGACCACATACATTATTACAAATGATAAATGAGATATTAAAACTTTTTCTTCAAGTGGAACAGTTTAAGCAATACAAAACACCAAGTTATTGCCTCAAGATCACTAAACTGCAGCAGCAAGTGATTGAAGGGTAAAATTGAAATGTCCTTCGAGATTAGTTCACTTGAAGCTTCCACAGTCTTAATTTACTATAATACTCATGTTAACATCCTTAAGCAAGTCAGCACAGCATGAGTCTATATCAAAGTTCAATCTCAGTTCAGAAATAAGCACAGCTCAACTCAGTTTTAGAGGTTTTGCAAGGTCATAACCACAGTCTGTCAAAGTTTTGCCCCACAGCCAATTTCAATAGCATTAATTCATCCAAATAGACTTGCTAGCACATAGATAGTTCATAGAATAGCTAGCCTTAAACATTTTGCACTTGAATCACAACTTATGCAGGAAAACAGGCTTATCAACTGATCTAAGAGCTTAAAATTCATTTAAGCATGTTTCAGTTCAAAACAAATTATTGAGCAAGTGTAAATAGCATAGTTGTACCTGTGACAACCCTCAGAAATGACCACAGCAACTTGGAGCTCAGATTCACTACTCAATCCAGTCCTTTATTCAGCAATTTGAATAGCAGCAGCTTCTCAGCACATTGATCACACACAAGGCTTGAGTCAGTGGGTTTCTCTAGCATAGATCATCATCTTAAATCATAGAAAAACTCTTTCAATAATGGGAGCTTGAGAGTTCTTTTCTGCAGCTAGCTCTTAGTCTCAATGAATGGCCATTCACTTATAGCAGCATATATATATCCAAGTGACAATGCTTGGCTGTACCTCCATTAATTCAATGCTGTCACCTTTCAGCCAATGATTGCATAGGAACAATTTTGACATTCCCTAAATGAAAAGACAATGTTGCCCTTGAAAATTCACCAAATAAAGACACCTTGTGCATCAGTAAGAACAGTTCATACAGATGAGAACACATTGATATTCTTCTTTGCTTAACAACTAAGATCTACAACACCATTGGAGAACAGAATATACCTGGACCACAGCCACGTGTCATATTGCTGAGAGTACTTAAAAAGTTGTAAAAATGATCCTTATACCAGCTGTAAATTGCATTCAGCATAATCTATTGTTGAGGCTGCATAAGACACAATGCAGGCTTACCAAAGCAGTTCAGTGCAATGCAGCTATCCAGCCATACGAGGCACCATAGAATACATCAGAAAAAGTACAAAAATACCCCTAAAAGCACCTGTGACAAATTCCTTATATGCTGATCCTAACTGAAACCATTCAATTTAGCTTAACCAAATGTACAAGCTGTGATGAATTAATTCATGCCAGTGTAAAAGGACTGTCACTACACTATAAATAACAATGCTGCCCAAGTGACATATGTTAAACCACAATGCAGATAGAATAAGCACTTAAGCTCACTGGACCAAAGCTTTTTGACATTAATCAGGCAAATAGGACTTATAGAACCTTAGGACCTACAATCTTCCCCTTTTGCCTTTAATGACAAAAGCTTTAATATGAAATAAGGCCTCAAGTATTATGATACAAATAAGAGAGGAAAAAGAAAACAACCCAACACTCATCAAATGATAAGAATAGCATGTGACACTATCCTAATTTCAGTCCTTTTCTCCCCCTTTTTAACATTGAAGGTCAAAAGGGAGCAGGACCAACAATTGCAAAGTTATAGAGATGGGGGAACAACCCTTAGAAGATCTCAAAGGGTTAAAAATCTGTGAGGAAGAAGAGGTTTAGTCATGATATCTGCAATTTGATCTTCTGTTGGGAGATAAGTAATGTCAATCAGCCCTTTTTGAACCTTGTCTCTGAGAAAATGATACCTGATATCTATATGCTTGCTTTTCCAATGCCATGTGGGATTTTTACTGATTGTAATTGCACTTTGATTGTCACAAAAGAGCTTGGGAGGCATGGAGAATTGAAGGCCAAGATCTGTCAAAGTAGACTGCATCCAAAGTAGTTGAGAGGCAGCTTGAGAAGCAGTAATATACTCAGCTTTTGAAGTAGAGAGAGAGACTGTGTCTTGTTTTTTGCTAAGCCAAGATACTATATTAGAGCCAAGAATGTAACAGTAACCAGAAGTGCTCTTTCTGTCAGGTAAGGAACAACCCCAATCAGCATCTGAAAATGCAGCTATAGTCATTTTTGGAGGAAAAATGTAATGGAGACCATAAGAGATTGTGCCCTTAACATATCTGAGAATGCGTTTGGCAGCCTGGAGATGAGACATTTTGGGATTACTTTGAAATCTGGCTACCAATCCTACTGAGTACATGATATCAGGTCTGGAAGCTGTGAGATAGAGTAGGCTGCCAATGATAGACCTATAAAGTGTGGATGGAACTGCTTCTGAGGTACAATTAAGTGATAGTTTAGTATTTGGACACAGTGGTGTTGAAACTAGCTTGCTATCATTCATGTGGAACTTTTTGAGTAATTCTGAGGCATACTTCTATTGTGAAATAAAAATTCCTTTAGATGTTTGACCAATTTGAAGTCCCAAGAAATACCTGAAGGTTCCCAAGAGTGACATTTCAAACCTTGTTTTCATAAGATTGGCAAACTCTGATGCTAATGAAGTGTTTGAACCACAAAACATGATGTTATTACCATAGATTTGAAGAATTAGAAACTGGTCTTGATGAATCCTGACATATAAGGTGCTGTCAACTTTGCCTTTATGAAAACCTTGTTCAATGAAGAACTGATGCAACTTTCCTTACCAAGCCCTGGGAGCTTGCTTAAGACCATACAAGGCTTTGCTGAGTTTAAAAACATGAGATGGATTTTCATAATCTTCAAAACCTTCAAGCTGCTCTAAATAAACTTCCTCACTTAGGTCTCAATTTAGAAAAGCAGACTTGACATCCATTTGGTACACCTTGACTTGTTTGTGACATGCAAAGGACAACAACATTCTTATAGACTCCATTCTAGCCACAGAAGCAAAAGATTCATCATAGTCAATTCCAGCTTGCTATGAACAGCCTTTACACACCAACCTTGCTTTATTCCTGATCACAACTCCTTTTTCATTCATCTTATTTCTGTAAATCCATTTAGAGCCAATAACATTTTTGTTTGTAGGTCTAAGTACCAGTGTCCAAGTATCATTCTTGTTAATTTAATCTAGCTCTTCTTGCATGGCTACAACCCAATCCTCAATCTTCTTAGCCTCATAGTAGGATTTAGGTTCAATAGATTACAACATTGCAAAGTGGCTGTATTCTTTGTTATCTTCAGCTTCTAACTCAGTTAGCTTCTTCCTATTCCTTGTTTGAACTCCAGCTTGAGATGAACCAATAATGTTTTCAACTTGAACCTGCTTCTGCAGCACTGGGTAAGTAGTTTCTTTTGAATTCTCAGGTTCAGTCACTGAAGAGCTGACTTCATTTGAACCAATTGTATTATTGCTGTCTTCAGGCAGAATCACTTAAGGATTTTCATCAAATTTTACATGGATTGACTCAACCACTTTCAAGGATCTAAGATTGTAGCATCTATAAGCCTTGCTCTTTATAGAATACCCCAGAAATATACCTTCATCAGATTTTGAATCAAACTTCCCCAAACTGTCAATGTGATTAAGTATATAACACTTGCTGCCAAATATTCTGAAATAGTCTACTGTTGCAGGTCTTCCATACCATAATTCAAAGGGTGTCTTGGTTGAATTTGGTCTAAGAAGAACTCTATTGATGATGTATACAGCAGTACTAACAACTTCAAGCAACATTGTTCTTCCCATTTCTTAAACTGTTCTGTTCTTTCTCTCCATAACTCCATTCTATTGAGGTGTAGCAACAGCTGAGAATTCTTTTTTAATTCCCTTATCATCACAGTAGTGCTCAAATTCTTTCATGGTGAACTCAGAACCAAAATCAGACCTGAGTTTCTTCACAGTGCAGCTCCTTTCATTTTCAACAAGGTTGACAAACTTAATAAAGTGTGTAATAGCCTCAGAATTTTCTTTCAGAAAGTAAAACCACACCATTCTGCTAAAGTCATCAATAAGTAGCATAGAATACTTACTGCTACCAATAGTTGTGGTTCTGGTAGGTCCACAAAGATCCATGTGTATCAGGTCAAGTGCCTTAGAGGAGTTGATTTCCTTGGAATGGAATGAAACTTTAGTTTGTTTTCCTTGTTGACATGTTTTACAAAGATGATCATCCTTAAAACAAATGTCAGGCAGACCTTTAACAGCTTTCAGCTTCAATATCTTGGACATGTTCCTTGAATGAAGATGGCCTAACCTCTTGTGCCACAACTTAGCTTCATCATAGGTTGTTAAGTTGCATTGGGTGACCTGACTTTCTTCAGTGATTGTGTAGACATTTCCTGAGGATCTACTTGCTAAGAACAGAACTTGTTTTGATTCAAGATCAATCACATTGCATCTTTATTTGTTAAAGCAGACTTCCTTCCCACTATCACACAATTGACTTACACTTAGGAGATTATGTTTGAGCCCTTCAACTAATAGAACTTCTTGAATCTCTAGCAACTCTTTAGACTTACTCATAGTGCCAATTCCAACAATCTTAGCTCTTTGATTGTCCCCAAATATAATATTTGCACCATCAAACTGCTATAAGGAGTTAAATTTTGAGCCATCACCTGTCATGTGTCTCGAACAGCCACTGTCAATATATCATTTGTCCTGAGTATTACAGGCTTTAAAAGCTGTATACACATCATCTTAGATTTCACCACTGACCCTTTGTCTTTAACTTTCACTCCTTGAGTTAGGTCTGACTTCTTCATATACATCTTAATGATCTTAAAGTTCCTTGCAGCTGATGTAACAAAGTCTCTCTGATTGAAACTCAGAGAATATTGAATGTTATTAAAAATATCAAATCTTGATCTTAGAGGTTTTACAATGGGATATCTTACATATACTTCTCCAGTGGTGGCCTTCACAAATATTGAGTGTTTCTGACTAATCTTAACAGCTGAATCACATACATATCCAATTCCAGTCTTCCCAATTTGCTTAGTAGATTGTTTCCAAATTTCAGCCATTTTCAGAGATTTCTCCTCAAGTATGGTAGACAATTATTCCTTGCATCTTTTAGTAGACCATTGAGAGTTACTTTGAATCTTGAGTATGCTTAGGAGAATAAGGGAAATTGAACACATAGTTGACAATTTGAGTTTTAAGTGTTTAGTGAGAATTTGTCTAGACCTTAATAGTTCTGAATTTAGCTTTCTGATATGAGATTTTTGTTGATTGCACTTCACAGCATGTCTTTCACATTCTTCCAGAATTTCCTCAATCTCTATGTCAGTATCTTCTTCAGTTTCAACAGACTCTTTTGATGGTTCTAGAATGGCCATGAATAAACATTCATCTTCTTGATCTTCTTTAAGTTTTTCTTCTTCTTCAATGGCTGTTTCCCAGTCTGAGAGTAAGGCTTTTCTTCCAAACTTTCCTTTATTGTTAAGTCCTTTAAACTTTCTCTGAGTTTGCCCTTTAAAGTTAGGACACTTGGATATAATATGACCAGGCTTGCCACAGCCATAGCATGTTAGATTCCGCAATTGAGATTTCCTTTTAAACCTAAATTTTCTGAATTTCTTAGCAAGGTAAGCCACTTTATCCTCTTTAAGATCATCTTCTGACTTAGACTCATCTTCTTCAACATTCTCTTTGGCTTTGAGTGCTGTTTCTCTTCTATGCAAAGTAGGTGGACCAACTCTCATCTCATAAACTATGAGCGATTCTTGAAATTCATCAATCTTCATGTTAGACAAATCTTTATCTTCTAGAATAATGACCTTGGCATTGAATCTGAAAGTAAGAGGTCTAAGAATTTTCTTACACACATCAGAGTCTTTAATATCTTCACCAAGAGCTCTCATATTATTTACAAGATCATTGATTTTGAACATGTATTCTGCAATAGTTTCTCTTTCTTCCATTTTACAAACTTCATATTGAGCCTTAAACAGTTGAATTTTGTTTTCCTTTATGACCTTGTTTCCCTCATGAGTTGCCTGAAGTGAATCCCACATTTCTTTGGCTGTCTTACAATTCTTCACTCTGGTAAATTCTTGCTGCTTCAAGGCACAGAAAAGAACATGTTTAGCCTTTCCATCATTAGCAACAACTATTTTGTCTTCAGCAGATGGATTTTCAGGATTGAGAATCACAACATCATGTATGATAGCATGCCAAACATCATAGGACTGAGACATCAAAAAGGCTTCCATTCTAGTTTTCCAAGAATCATAGTTAGAGCCTTCAAAACCAGGAGCTTTGTAAATAACTTGACCTTCATCCATAGCTAGGACCAACTGCAGGCTTGTTAGAACTTTTCAATGCAGACCCAAGTACTGATACCAATTGTTGAACTAAGAGGGGGGGTGAATTGGTTAATCTCTTCCCAATAACAACAATAAGAATATTCAGCAAGCAAACAATGAGAACATAAAACAGGATTTACAAGGAAACCCTTTCAACTAGGGAAAACCTTAGTTCTTGGCCATAGCCAATGAAGATCACTACTAGCTGTATGTACCTTGTTACACACTCAGCTATCTCAACCTCTGTACACACCCAAGCATAAGAATGGACACTAGTTTTCACAACCAATACATACACTAGCTAATTTCAGTGCACACACACACTCCCTCAATCCTAAGCACCCTTATGTGGACCAACAAAGTTCATATAGCTCATCACATACATCATTACAAATGATAAATGAGATAATAAAACTTCTTCTTCAAGTGGAACAGTTTAAGCAATACAAAACACCAAGTTACTGCCTCAAGATCACTAAACTGCTGCAGCAAGTGATTGAAGGGTAAAATTGGAATGTCCTTCGAGATTAGTTCACCTGAAGCTTCCACAGTCTTAATTTACTACAATACGCATGTTAACATCCTTAAGCAAGTTAGCATAGCATGAGTCTATATCAAAGTTCAATCTCAGTTCAGAAATAAGCACATCTCAACTCAGTTTTAGAGGTTTTGCAAGGTCACAACCACAGTCTATCAAAGTTTTGCCTCACAGCCAATTTCAATAGCTTTAATTCATCCAAATAGACTTGCTAACACATAGATAGTTCATAGAATAGCTAGCCTTAAACATTTTGCACTTGAATCACAACTTATGCAGGAAAACAGGCTTATCAACTGATCTAAGAGCTCAAAATTCATTTCAGCATGTTTCAGTTCAAAACAAATTATTGAGCAAGTGTAAATAGCATAGTTATACCTGTGACAATGCTCAGAAATGACCACAGCAACTTGGAGCTCAGATTCACTACTCAATCCAGCCCTTTCTTCAGCAATTTGAATAGCAGCAGCATCTCAGCACATTGATCACACACAAGGCTTGAGTCAGTGGGTTTCTCTAGCATAGATCATCATCTCAAACCATAGAAAAAAATCTTTTAATAATGGGAG